AATCTGAAAATTTTCAGTTCAGATCAACTTCAGTTCAGTTTTGGATTGCAAAAAATTCAATCTGAAAATTTTTGGTTCAGTTCAGATTTTTTCAGATTATAAATCTAATTTGAACCGAAAAAAATCTGAACTGAACTGAAAATTTCAGATTAGTCTGAAATTTGAATCATTTAGAACGATTAAATTTATCATTTCAAACGAACGATAAAGAATCATTCAATTAGAATGATGAAATTATCATTTCAAATAAACGATAAGAAAATTGTTTGATTAGAATGATCAAAATATCATTCTAAACAAACGATAATAGAATTATTCGATTGGAATGATGAAATTATCATTCCAAATGAATGATAAAAGAATTGTTCAATTAGAACGATAAAATTATCATTCAAATAAACGATAAGAAAATCATTTGTTTAGAATGATGAAATTATCATTCCAAATAAATGATAAAAGAATCATTTGATTAGAATGATGAAATTATCATTCCAATCAAATGATAAGAAAATCATTCGATTAGAATGATCAAATTATCATTTCAAACAAACGATAAAAGAATCGTTTAATTGGAACGATCAAATTATCATTTCAAATGAACGATAAGAAAATCGTTTGATTGGAACGATCAAATTATTATTCTAAATGAACAATAAGAAAATCATTCAATTGGAATGATGAAATTATTGTTCCAATCAAATGATAAGAAAATCGTTTGATTGGAATGATCAAATTATCGTTCTAAACAAATGATAAAAGAATTGTTCGATTGGAATGATGAAATTATTGTTCTTTTGAAATGATAAAAATTGTTCATTTAGAATGATTGAAGTTATTATTCTAAACAATCTGAAATTTCGGATTAATCTAAAATTTTCAGTTTAGTTCAGATTTTTACCAGTTTACGGTTCAGTTCAGTTTCAGATTGGCATTTTTAAGATTTTTAATCCAAACTGAACTGAACTGAAATTTTCAGTTTGATTTTAGATTAGCCTATAATCTGAACTGATCTGAACCATTCAGAGCATTACTAAACGCGTATAATAAGTAGTGATTAATTGTATCTGTATGTAATACTGTATCATCTTCATTTACAATAAGTTCATTTTCAAAATCTCATTTTTGATGATAGCGTAATTTTTCAAGTTTATTTATTAGTGAATCCTTGAGTTTTTTATTTATTTACAATTTTTTTATAAAATAATAAATTCAAACAATATTTGTTACATTTGGTGATTTTGTTTAAATTTTCAATGCATTGACTGTTGATTCCAAATAAAACACCACCATCATAATTTTTCAATATTCCCGTTTTCTTCCAAACTTTAGTTGGTAAAATATCACTATAGTATGCAATTCTTTTTTCTTCTGAAATATCTCTATACAATATTTTTTATATTCAATTTTTTGTATAAAAAGACTTTGCTTGCCTTGATATTTGAACATAAAACTTGATTGATACTTAACCATATTTTTGTCATTTGAATCACCTAACTTTATAATTAGAATAGAAAGTTTGTCAACCATTATTTTGAAAGGATAAAATAAAACATCAGATAATAGTTGAGTAATATTTTCATTATTAAATCCTAAAACTGAAGGTCCTGAATATCATGTTTTATTATCAAAAAGATGTTGTAAGTTTTATTTATAGCTTCTGAAAGGGAAAGGTAAACTTTTGCAGTTACATCAGATTCACAAATATAGCTTAGTTTAATGCTATCTTCTGCACTAACAATACGAATAATAAATTTAGTTTTGTTAAGTTCCAATTGAACTCCTATGTTTAGTCTTATAGATATACATATTTGTTTCTCTTCATTGAGAATTTTTCTATCAATAAAAGTCTACCAATTTATTGAATATACACTATAATGAAGTATTAGAATGAGACTACCTAAAGAAAGAAGTTGTATTATTTGTTTTTTAGAAAACATGAGAAACCAATTTATAAAGAAATAGAGAATTGAAAAATCTTCATTTTTATTATTTGTTATTAACCTCATAATTTACTATTAAATTTTAAATATGTACTCTAATTATTACACAAATCATGAATTAAGACTTTTTATACATTGAGTAGATTATATACCTATAATAAATAATCTTAATGTATAACAAGAAGCCCAAGATTCTTTACTATAAAGAGTATTTTAAAGATAATTTTCAGCCTAATAGTAAGTATTTTTTAAATGATTCCAATTAACTTCAAAGTTTTCTTCAGATAAAGAATTTTATGCCTTATAAAATTCACTAACAAATTTCAAATAATCCTTTTCTAATACACCTTTTAGTCTATAAGGTAAATTTTAATAAATATAAAATATACAATACACATAATGAGTATTAGATAATTCTTGTTATATTACACTAATCATTGCTAGATCTGCATTAGTAATTATTACATAAGGTTTAATAAAAGTTCTTTTTAAATATTGTAAAATCTAAAGATATATTTCTAAAGTTTCATTTTGTACAAATGCTTAAGCAAGCAATCTTTTTTTATTATTATAATCAATAATAACAAATTAAGATAATGGTCACTTGTAATGATTTGTGAGTACTATATTATCATGTAAAATAACATCATTATATTGGTTGTATAGTATTTGATGAATAGGCGTCATCTAAAAATTTCATTTAAATGAAATATTAAAGGAATAATCAGGGTATTACTATAAATAAAAGATCTTCTTATTACATTATAAATAACTCATTTAAAAGTATAACCACTATCATTTTTTGAATTACCAAATTATCTTTTGATTTTTGAATATAGTTTAATAAATCTTATGAGAGCATAAATTAATTTGAAAATTTTGGTTTTAATAATGATCTAATGGTAAATAAATACATAACACTAAATTTAACATTATAATATATATCAAATTTAATTTCTTTTAAAAGATCACAAAATTGAGAAGCAAATAAGAAATTATCAGGTAAAAGTTTATGATTATGTGTATTAATGAACTTTAACTTTGTAATTCTCATATAATTAACATTTAAAGGTTGAGAAAGGATAACATGTCAAGAATACTCTGTTTTTTTAATCCTTTATTTCTAATTAAAATTCTACCATTATCCTTAATTTTACCTGAATATTCACAATCAATATATCTCAATCTAATACTGCCATCACTATTCTTTCAACTCTTTTTTTTTAATAACAAATCCATTAAAACATCCAAATTCAATATAATAATGAATAGCTATTTCAAAATTTGAAAAATTCATCCCTTCAGTTAAATTAGGACATAATTGAAGATGTGAAATGGCTTCACCATATTGAATCAAATTAGCACCTTCAATATAAATTTGTACTGTATACAAAAACCAAAATTTATATCCTTGTAAATACTTTAGAACATTAAAAGCAATTATTAAAATCTTAAAAATCTTACATAAATGAGTTTTTTGATTATAAAGTTGTGTATCGTTTACTTGAAAATTTAATGATAATGAAGGAGATGAAGGACAATTTCCTTTATTCCTTGAGGTAGATTCCTCCTCTACTTTTACCTCTACCTTATCCTCTACTGTTTAGTGTTAGTGTTAGTATCAGTGTTAGTGTTAATATTAGTATTATTGTTAATGTCAGTATTAGTGTTAGTATTAGTGTTAGTATTAGTGTTATTGTTAGTATTAAATATTATAAGGTATATAATAACGGCCGGTCATTGGCATAACACGAATTGCCTAAAAAGGAGAATTTTTTGAGAAAAAGGAAATTAATTTGTTGCTCAAAGGCCAAGAAAACCGGTTTACACTAATAAAATCACACTAAATTTTTTTTTACCTTACCATAATACCGATCCTTCTTTATTATAGTATGTTAAATACAAATAATATATTAATAAAGGAATTAAATAACTTTTTTTATTTTCTTGTTTTGTAAGCATCAAGGTATAGCAAATGCTACTTGTTAATTCCTTTTAAAAAAAAAGAGTATTAGGAACCTTGAATGACCATCCATCACTTATGTAAAAGTTCAGATAATTTTGGTTGAGCAATCCATTGTAAATGTACAAATTCTCAATCAGTTGCAAGAAGAAAGTTTAATAGAACAAGTTATTTTAAACATAAAATCCTCATATTGAACTTTAAGTCATGTGCAAGAGGACTATTTAAAATAATTTGAATTTTAAGAATAAAAATAATTACGCTTAAAAATTACTAACAGTGATAATATGCTTCAATGAATTTTCTATACTTCATTATAATTTTCAAAATTTTGAAAAATGTTAGAATAAAATTGTAAGGTTTTATTTTTTAAAAAGTCTTTATATGAACTGGATTTTGAAATTTGTTATTTCCGTTATACCGTATTTACTGTGAATTCAAACAATTTTAAAATTATATGCAATATAAACCTTTCGTTAACTTTAATATTTCAAACTTCTTTGTGTCTCCAATAAGTTTTGATCGTTGAAAACTTTCTACACAAGTGAATTGTATCAATTAAATTTGTTGTATAAATATTAGGACAGGCCAAAGTTAAATTTAAGAAATTGCTTGTTGACTTGTTTTCGGTACATTTCCAGGTTAACAGATTAATTAAATTAAAAATATGACTGACCGTAATTTATACTAAAAATTATAATATTGTATATTAGTTTTTAAATAAATTATTATTATTTAACTTGTCGTTAACATCCCTAAGTGGCACCTTTTTTTTATCTTTTTAATGTAATGTAATAATACCAAATCTTATCAATTCGTTAAGGAGGATGATGTAATTGCAGGATATAAATATTTTGATGATCATATAGTCATAATTTTAATTTTCAATATGTTATACCCTTTACACAATTTAAATAAACGCATTTTTTTTTCCTATATACTTAATAAATAGAACGAAATTTTCAATATATCAAATCGTTGTAGGAAACGCTGGTAAATAAGTATAAAAAAATAATTTTTTAAAACATTTATTATTCTTGTATACTTAAGTTGGGAATGAAAAAAAATTATTTTCTCGTAAACTTAGTTGGAATCGATTTGGGGTCGACGTATTCCTGTATCGGAGTTTGGCAAAATAACAGAATTGAAATTATTCCCAATGATCAGGGTTATCTTACGACGCCTTCTTATGTCGCCTTCAAAGGAATGGATACTCTTATCGGCGATGCCGCAAAAAATCAAGTTAATATAAACCCCCATAATACTGTATTTAACGTCAAACGTCTCATTGACCGTAGTTTTAACGACGAAGAAGTTCAATCCGATATAAAGGTAAAAAATTATATCATCATCAGCAATTTAATGAATTTAACTATATATTATTGTTATTATTATTAGCGAAGTCCATTTAAAGTTATCGAAAAGAATGGAAGGCCATCTATTCAAGTAATATTCAAAGGTCAAAAGAGAGAGTTCACACCTGTAGAGATATGTTCTATGATCCTGGGAAAGTTGAAGGAAATTGCGGAAGATTACCTTGGCACAATAGTTAACAATGCCGTAATTACGTCACCAGCTTACTTTAATCTCTCTCAATGTCAAGCTATAAAAGATGCCGGCTTGAAAGCCGGTTTAAATGTAATTCGCATTATTAAAGATGCAAATGCAGCAGCTATTGCTTATGGTTTACTTCAAAAATCTATTGGTGAACGAAACGTACTTATCTATGATTTAGGTGGTGGTACTTTTGATGTCTCCCTCCTTACTGTTGAAGAAGGAATTTTGCAAGTAAAAGCTGTTGCTGGTGACACACATCTTGGTGGAGAGGATTTTGACAATCGTATTGTAAATCATTTCGTGCAAGAATTCAAGCGCAAGTTCAAGAAAGATCTTAAAACGAATAAACGTGCTCTCTGTCGATTAAGAATTGCTTGTGAACATGCAAAACGTCAACTTTCAACATCATTAAACATTTCCATAGAAATAGAGTCTCTCTTCGAGGGTATTGATTTCTATACCACATTAACGCGTACCAAATTTGAAGAATTGAACCAAGACTTATTCCGAGCTACATTGGGACCTGTTGAAAAAGTACTCCGAGATTCTAATATTGACAAAAGTCAAATTCATGAAATTGTCCTGGTCGGAGGTTCATCACGTATCCCCAAGATTCAAAAGATGGTGTTCGAGTTCTTCAATGGTAAAGTACCAAATAATTCCCTTAATCCTGATGAAGCAATTGCCTACGGTGCTGCCTTTCAAGCTGCTATATTATCTGGTGATGCTTCTGCTATTAATACAAATTTACTTTTGCTCGATGTCAATGCTTTTTCTCTTGGCATTGAAACCGTCGGTGGTGTCATGACACCGCTTATTAAGCGTAATACTAAAGTACCTGTTATGAAATCCGAAATTTTCTCCACAACTTCTAACAATCAACCGGGAGTGCTTATTCAAGTTTATGAAGGTGAACGTGCCCGTACTAAAGATAACAACTTGCTTGGAAAGTTCCAATTAACTGGGATTCCGAAATCACCAAGTGGTGCACCATCAATCGAAATCACTCTTGATCTTAATCGAAATGGTATCTTAATCGTATGTATTATTATTGCCATACCATATTATAATAGGTATTGTATTAACTTGAAGAATTGTAGGTAACTGCAGTTGATAAAACAACTGGCCTATCGAATCAGATAACCATCACGAATGAAGAAAACGAACGAATTGGTATGCAAACAATTTCAGAAATTTTATAACGATGTAATAATTTTTACTAACAATGTATCTAGGAATAGCTGTCATAGGACAAGCAATACAGGCACGGGGATCATTTCAAGTAAGTTTAGTTTAATATTTATTTTACATCGATATTTTAAACTCAATTCATCCCTCAATAGGTCGTGAATTTTTCTACAAATATATTTGAAATTGTGAAGAAGCTTTTTGGTGTAAGTAATCGGGTATTATAGTGAATTTAAAAATATTTTCATTAAACATTCGGAACTAATTTCATTTTATACCAGTATTGAAGTAATCGATTTAAATTTATCTATATTGCATGATATCAAATGAAAATATTTTATTATTCAAGTAACTTTTGATCATTATCAGAATAAATATTTCTTCTGTAAGGTCAAAATTTATTATTTCAGACCGAATGTATCAAATTGAATTTAAGGAATTTCCAACCCTATTTTCCAAAAATGAAAAAACCTTTCCAAGACAAATATGCAATAGAACGATTTTTAATGGTTTACAAAAGTTACCAAGTGAGTTAAAATTGAATGTGATTTCATGTATATAAAGATTGTGGAATGTCAATATTATCACATATCAACAAAGTATTCAAATTCCTCGTTCATTGGATACAAGGACCTTTTTTTCAATGAAATTCGAATTTATTTGATATAGTATTTAAAAAAATAATATGTCAGTAATGATTATGTACATCCACCTTGTCCTTGGGATTGGAATTGATTCTACCAAAACCGAATTAATCGAAAATCGATTAAAAAGAACCGAATCGGTTTTTTAGTGGCGTGGTAAGTGCGGTATATAAAACCTGAGTAGTAATAAATATAATTTCTTTTGAAACTTTTACCTATTACTTCCGAAGTGATCTAACACGAAAGAGGAACCTTAAAATTAATTATGTCCTAAGCGTCCTAAAATTCCCAAGAGATTACAAATTTTCATTAAACTTGTCTATTATAATGTTTAATGAGCTACTTAATGAAATGAATAATAAACCATCTTGGAATCCAAGAATTTCTTAAATATTTAAAATTTTAGGATTTAGGACCGGGCTAGGACCGGTCATATACGTAGCGGTTCCATCACAATTGTCTATTTTGAATATCATCATAAAATATTTATGACATTTTTTTAATGGGGATTACTTATTATTAGACTTCTCTAAAGATAGTAATCTTTTAAATCATAAGGACCGGTTAAGGACCGCTTAACATCCCTAAAAATAAATAACAAAAGGGAGGAATATTTAATCGCTGGTTTCAAAGTGAAGAAAATGAAATGAAAACAAATACGCGTACTTCCGATACGATCACTGAAAGTGTTTTTTAAAAAAAAAAAAAAAAAAAAAAAAAAAATGGAAAATCTAAACGATGAAGTTGAAAGTGTTTTATTAATGACTTATTATCTTAAAACCTTAACATAATCTCAGAAACCTGTCTGTAACACTCAACAGGTCGAACTACGGAAATATTTATATAAAGGTTAACTCTTTTAATAATGAAAATAATGAATAAATTGATAAAATACATTAAGCTATAAATATTAATATTTGACGTATAATTTTCGCTAGATCATAGGGCGCAGTCAAATTTTCAGCAATCTTTCTTTTCAAAATTAATAAAGTTGGAACTTAATACGGAAAATATTTAACCTTTATTCAAAAACCTAATATTTAAAATTTTATGAAGAAAATTTTGAAGCTAAATTAAATGAAATTTTTTGAATTGACGTAAGTTATTACATTCACCGGCGAAAGTAATGGCACTACAAGTGCTTGCTTGTTTTTTGAGTCGTAGCATGTTCATTTTTCACTCTAGAATTTTCCAGTATTTCTAGAGTATTCTTTATAAATAATATT